TCTTTCTCAGATCTAAACCTTCCACTTCACTCCTCATCTTAATCTATACTTGCACACCAAATTTCAACTCAAAATTCACTTGTTTAACTATTCATTCAAGTGAGGAAGATTTCAATTGAATCACACATGAAATTGTAACCCAAACAACCAAGCCCCCTCATTAACTCTAAAATTGTCAAATAACCTACTCATCTAATCTCAACCTTAAATTCCCCCATTTCCTTCCAAAACAAGGAAGATTTCGTTCCAAGTATCCTTATTAGTTAATAAAACATAAGCCAAAACCTTGATTTGAACCAAATCATTTGATCCACATCTTTGATCACAAAATTGTCTTTTCCATCATATTCAAAACATTTAAAAATTCCCACCCACCAAAATTTACCCTAAGATTCCCTTATTTTTCCCACTATCAAGCCAATATTCCATTTCAACAAATCTCATTGGTTGGAGCATACCAACTATAGAACTTCATAACCTAAACCTTAACTAACCAATCAGACATCACCACCATACTTAGAGACCCAAACAACCATTTTACGTCAAATTTCATATCCTAATTCACTTGTTTGACCATTAAACAAGCATGATTTCATTCCAAACATCTTCATTAGTTGACAATCCATAAGCTAAAACCTTGATCTGAACCAAATAATTCAATCCACATCTTTGATCATAAATCTAGATCTTCCATTAAATTGAAGATATTCAAAAATTCCTATCCACCACATTTTATCCTAAGATTCCTTTATTTCACATGCTATTAAGCCAAGATTTTGTTTCATCAAATTTCATTGATTAAAGCGTACCAACCATAAATCTCTATTATCCAAATCTCATTTGACCAATCAGACCTCAAAAAAACCCTAGTATACTATGTTTCGTGACTTAATTCCTCCATTTGACTATTAAACAAGAAAGGCTATGTTCCAAACCTTCTCATTAGTTGACGATCCATAGGCTAAAACCTTGATATCAACTAAATCATTCAATCCACACCTCATCAAAGATCAGATCCTTCCATTAGACTCAGGAATTTCAAAAATGTCTATCTACTGAATTTTATCTTGAGATTCCCTTGTTTGGTCCATCATTAATTTGTGATTTTGTTTAGTAAATCTCATTGATTAGAGCATACCAACCATAGATCTCTATTATTCAAAACTTAATTAACCAATCAAACTTCACCACTATGCTTAGAGACAAAAAAAAAACCTTTGCAAGTCAAATTTCATGACCTAATTCATTCGTTTAGCCGTTAAAATGGAAAGATTTGATTTATACACACTAGATTAAATCACTCATTCATCTATCCCAACCTAAGACTTAAGAGGGTGGGGCTGATGTCAGCCCTATACTTAATCTATTAAAATACCTAGATCAATAAAATTGAGCCTAATGGACTGAAAAACCTAAAAACCAAAAGATACTGCTACTTAAAAGATAAAAAAGGACAAAATGAAATTTATTGTTGAATCACATTTACATTTTATGCCATTGGGAGCCCCAAATATAAGATTGCAATGACTAATATGCCCAAGACTCTCATTAAACACACAAAACTTGTGAAAACCAACTCAAAATCGAGGAAAAATATTGCATCAAGAAGGAAATGTTGATTGCAAACCTTCTCCATTTTAAAATTCTTAGCATTTTCATCAAAACATTCTCTTAAAACCTAAGTGTTTTATTAGTTAAAAGTTTCAGACCTGTTTTTTTATCTTATCACTATAAACAAAGACCCAACTCAAGCCCAAAGAGGGGAAAGAGCCCAGAAGTATTCCGAATCCCTATAGAGGTCCCATTTGTAGGACATTTCAAAGTAATTAAGCCTTAAACTTCAAATCTGCCCAATTTTGTTTTAGATTTTGGATTTGCAAGAGCTTTTTGACAGTCTTAGATTTCCCTTGTCATTAGAAAGTCAAATAGAAGCAATCTACCAATTCAAGAGTTCTTTCAAACACTATTTCAATTTGGTTCAACTACTAGAAAATCCTTACCAATGTTACATACGAGAGGTATGACATCTCACTTCATCTCTAACACATCAAGTTCGTTGTTCTTGAACTAAGTCTAGTTCTAGGTTGCTTAAGGTCCTTAAAACTTGAGAAATTTGCATTTTTAGCTTCTTCTCGCTTGGGACAAAGAGGTAGATGGGAGAGGGTCTTAAGGAAATTATTACCAAAGGCCCGACAATAGGCAATGCTCTCTAGTCTTTTTTTTTTTTTCCAGTGTTGCTACATAGCACCTCCTATAATCTATTGGTCACCCCTAAGAATTCCAGTGCCATGTTGTCATGAACTTCTTAACTAGTGGTATGAAGATACCATTGCCTTCAAAACGTGCAACATCAACTAATTAATTATTGCATTATATGAAAAACTGGCCTTGATAACCAAGAACTCGATCATTAGAGTGGTGTGTCAAGGATTTACTATCTCCCATCGTGAGAGGTAAGGCAATCTTGCCTTTTGGTTTGATGACTACCATGGAGAAACCAATTAGGGGGTTGTTGGTAGGTTGTAGTTGATCCAGAGCTTCATTTTTTCAAAGGTCTCGTAGAATAGGATGTCGCTCAAGGAACCATTGTCTACAAGGATCCTTCTTACTTCAAAATTGGCGGTTGTGAGAGCGACCACAATGCACTATCATGGTGGTGATGACCCCCTATAAATCATCTTTAGAAAAGGTGATAGCATCCACTGATTTTTCCTTCTTCTAGGGCCTATGTCTGATCTGGATCTATCAAGCATAGGCATTTATAATTGAAGAACTTTGTTTGCCTAATGTTGAGCCTTCTAAAATAACATTAATGACCCCCAACTAAGGGTCTATTGGCTGTGGGGTTGGTAGGATTTAAGGCTAACCTAACCATTTGGTCACTCAAGATGAAGTCCTTTAGATAGCCCTTCTTGATGAGGATCTCAATTTTGTTCTTTAACTTGTGGCATTCTTCCATGTCATGGTTGATGTGGTGGTGATACTTGCAATAGTTGTCTTGATTTTCCTTTTGGGGGTTTTTCTTCATTTTAGAAATGCACCGCTTGAACTCCTACTCCTTGACCTATATGAGGATATGGTTCTAAGTGGCATAGTGGAGTGTAGTTATTGTATGATGGTGGGGCTTGCTTAGAATTGCCTTTTTTCTTTTTTTTTTTTTTTGTAGTTGGAGCTATTGGGCCTCAACTCATCCCTATCCTTTCTCTTCTTTTTCTACATTGATGTACTTCTCTACTCTTGTCAAGAATAAGACCATGTTCCTAGGTGGTTCTTGGTCAGTGAGAAGTTGAAGATTGATGACATGAGGCCATTGGTGGCAGCCACTACAGCTATAGCATGGTCAAAGTCCTTAACACCAAGTGCCTCAGAGTTGAACCATGTTGGATATAATTCTAGAGTGACTCCTTGAATCTTTGATTTATAGCCATCAATGCAACCAAGGTTTTCTATCAATGTCAAGTCAATTACTCACAAAATGGGATAGGAAAAGGTTTGCGAACTGGCCCCATGAAGATATGGATTGTGGAAGGAAACATTAGAACCAACTTTTAGCGACACCCTTGAATGTAGCCTGGAAGGCTTTACATATTAGGACATTGAAGTACCCATGGAAAAGCATAATTGCGTAGAAGCTCTCTATGTAGTCTTCCAGGCTTGTGGTTTTCTAAGTCTCTAAGGTGGGAGCCTTAAAGTTAGGGGGAGAGGCTTTATCACTATTGAATTAGCAAACACTTCCATTATACTTGCCGAGGTGTGGTGGTTGGATAAGGCGTCAGCTTTGCCTTCTTTCATTTGGCCAATTTTAGCTTGAATAGCACTAAGTTTTACAACGATGCCATTGAATCTACGACCATGGTCCCTGAGGGGGACGTCGGCCTAGGATGTCTCCTTAACCCACAAGAGATCCGTGTTGTTTTGTGAGTGCCTTGAAGTGGCCAAATCATTCCCTTCTTGAGTGCGTTAGTTGTTTAGGTTCTCACGAAGGTTCGAAACCCAAGGAGATAGAGCGGGTAGGGGTGTCCATGGTTCGGTTAACCAAAATGAAGCCGAACCGATACCACCGGTTGACTGGTCCATCAGTTTCAATTTTTGACCGGTTTGGTTCTTTGGTTTTTTAATTTTTATATTTATAATATATTATATAAATATATGTATAATATTATATTTATAACTAAAAAATGATATATAATATATTATAAATATTATAAAAATATATAATAAATAGAAACTATGTGACATATATTTAAAATATATAAAATATACATATCAGTATATATACTAGTCGGTTCGGTTAACCTTCGGTTTTTTGAAAATACCAAACCGAAACCGAACTAATCGGTTCAATTAACCACATTTTCTCATTTGGTTTTCTCAGTTTGGTTCAGTTTTTTGGTTTCTCGATTTTTCAGACACCCCTAAGAGCGGGTTGCTGATTAGCTCCATTCCGCTTGCTAGGAGTGTGTCACTCTCGACGTTTGTCAGTGTTCCTATGTTGGTCTAGGGTAGAATGGCCAATGTGACACCTAGTATAAGTACGGATGTAGAGCCAACTCACCAAATGGTTGCTTCTTTCAATCTTGGAGAAATCTTCTTTAATTGGATTGTGCTCTGAGTTGTTGACTCAATGAGGCTTTAACTGACCTTCTATCCTATGTTATTGGGCACCAATGGGTCAACCATGTTGGGGTTGGCCTCTTGCTGGTTGTTACAGGTTGTTCAATTGTGGAAATTCAAAGTGACAAGTACAGTGGGAAGTTGTGTTGACCCAAAAAGGGTATATTGAGAAGGTATTGACCAAATTCAATATGAAGGAGGCTAAGGCAATGAGCACACCACTAATTCAGCACTTCGGACTATCTCTTCAACATTGTCCAAAGACAAAGGAAGAACGTAAGGAGGTGATACATATACAATATGCCAGTATAGTTGGATGCCTTATGTATGCTATGGTATGCACCAGACCGAACTTATCTCAAGTAGTTAGTGTTGTGAGCAGATTTATGGCTAATCCGGGGAAGGAGCATTGGAATGTTATAAAGTGGATTCTGCGTTACTTGTATGGTACCCAAGATATAGGTTTACTATTTCAGAATGGTTTGAAAGGAAACAAAGTGGTTGGGTATGTAGATTCAGATTTTGCAGGTGACCTTGACAAAAGAAAGTCTACTACAATATATATTTTCACTCTTGGTCAGGGTCCTATTAGTTGGAGGTCTACATTACAAGATACAGTGGCTTTGTCTACTACAGAAGTAGAGTACATGGCAGTAGTAGAGGCGGCCAAGGAAGTTGTATGGTTGAGAGGATTGATTCAAGAGCTTGGAATTGATTAGAAGAACATTTGTATTCATTGTGACAGTCAGAGTGTTATATGTCTTGCAAAGGATCCAGCATACCATAGAAGGACTAAGCACATAGATGTGTGGTATCACAAGCTCAGAGATTTTGTATCAGATGGTGACATTCAGTTTGGGGAAGATTTCTTCCCAAATGAACATGGAAAACATGATGACCAAGCCATTGCCAAGGGAGAGAATGCTTGAATCTTTCAAACATACAGTGGTGCTAATTTGTAAAGCCCCCAGGAAGAAGGGGGTATTCTAAATAGAGAAATGGAGCAGGGTGAAGAAGAGAGTTGAACAATTTTCTTTTTGAGTCAAGGTGGAGAATGTTGGAATTGACTAAAAAATAAAGTTAGTTTTAGAAAGTGGCCATTAGTGCATGGTAACCATAAAGTTAGTTACAAAAAGTGGTTATTAGTGTATGGTAACCATAAAGTTAGTTATAAAAAAGTGTGGCTATCTTGTATCTTCAAGCTTCTTCTATAATTTGAATGAAAAATCTCTCTGGAGTGTGTGCTCTTCCCGTAGACGTAGGAGGATTTTCTCCGAACCACGTAAGTTCCTGTGTCTTCATCTCTATTTGCTTGAATTTTTGTTTACTTTTCCATTTTTGTGTTCTCCATTTTTCCTCACAAGTTGATTCAGGATATGTGATACAACTTTTCTGTACCAACAATGACAACTTAAGTTGTCATGTGACTTAGGTTGATAATGAGCATGGATCTGGGTATGGAGCACTTACCTCTTAAGAGGATAATGCTTATCAATTAAAGATAGAGTCTTAATCCAAAATTGATTTGGATCAGTTCCTAATTAGATTAGGAGAGTGTTCTATATAAAGGAGAAAGAGGGAAGAGTCCAATTGAGCTAATTCTCTCTATTCTCTTGTTCTCTCCTTTTCTCCCTTGCCTTTGAGAAACCTTAATTCAGCTAGCATTGTCAGGGACCAATTCCAATCAAGGTACATTAGGTTCACCCATTTCGGTTCAAACAAGTTGGAGAATGATTTTTGCTAAAATGGTGTTTTTGAATCAGCTCCGCATACACACTCTACCATTTTCAGTTGAAGGCCGATTTTGAGACTGATATTGGGTATAAACTATCACTCTAGGAACTGGATTTTGTGGTTTTCGTATCAAATATGATCAATTTTAATTTGGGTTTCAAAATTATCAAAAAATTGGTTCTCGGGCTAGGTTTGAAAATTTTTTAAATTCTACAATCTACCAAACTTAGTTTGGCCATGTCAAACCTAATTTCTAACCCTTCCAATAGAAGAGACTATGAATGAGCACGGAAGAGGGAAAGATGGAGGAAGGTTTTGGTGGTGGATATTGGTGAAAGAAACATGGGGAAAGATAGAGGAGTCCAACTATCTAGGCTTCATGTAGGTTGGGGATGAGAAGAGGAAGAAGATGTTGACTAGTTTGGTTGGGGTGAGAGATTCCATGATGTTGTGTGTGAGAGGGAGATTGGAGGAGGGAGAAGGTGTTTCATGGAGGTGGGAGTGAGCTAGGGTTCAGTTCAGTCATGGCGTCTTTGTGAGGGAGAAGATAGGAGGAAGGATATGGGAGAGAGAATGGAGAGGTTAGGGTTGGGTGGTCTAAGGTTGGGGGTAAGGGAGAAGAGATAATGTGAGAATCAGTTGTCTTAATTCCTTGGTTCAGTTCAACTTTAGTCTTATAGGTTTTTTCCTTCCTTATTTTTTTTTGTTTTTATGTTAGGTTTTCTTTAAAACCGAATCGGTGGGGACTAGGTCCGATTGGGACTGGTTCAATCTTGTTAGAACCTAATTGGGTCTTAGTCTTGGTTTGGTTCGGGGGATTCATTTGGGAAGGAATGAGAGTGGTTACGGTTTTTTAGAGATTTGGGTTTGTTCTGAAAAGAATGGAGGGCTAGGATCATTTGATCCTAATCTAACGAATTCATTGCCCCTAGACATCCCTCCCTAAATCATTCTCTTTTGTTCCCCCTCATTTAATGTTTGAGATGATAGCATCTCTAGAATAAATAAATATGGAGACAATGGACAACCATGACAGAGACCTCGAGTTGGAGTAAAACTTTTACTAGGAGTCCCATTTATTAGGATTTTCATGGCATTGATAGATAAGTATTGCTTAATCAATTTGCAAAAATTTGAAAAATACCCAAAGTAGATAGGCTGTCTAGTAGAAAACTCCATTCGACCCTATTGTATGCTTTAGAGAGATCAATTTAGGGGGAAAAAATAACCAATAACACTACTACAATAATGCATTGAATGAATAAGCTCTTTCGAGATGATAATATTGTTGATAATCTGATTGCCAAGGCTAAAAGCATTTTGGAATGGGGAAATATTATTGCAGAAAACCTTTTAGTCTACATGAATCTTTGCAACAACTCTATAAGAAGAAACATTTGCCAAATCTATGGGATAGAAGTCACCACCAGTTTCCACTGTACCATTTTTGTTTTGGAAGCAAAACAATGTGAGATTCATTGACAGTGACAATGAGAAAAGGTTTCAAAAATAGGCTTTTGATGAATTGGCTAAAGTCTCGACCAATTACTGACCATCTGTTTGAAAACATAATGCATGCAGCCCATTCAACCCAAGAGCCTTAAGGGGAGTTAGACTGAATAGAGTCTATTTAATTTCAAAATCATCTGCTACAACAGTGAGAATCATATTCTCAAGAGTGATAATAGAATCCAATAATGAAAAATCCACATATTATGTGCATTTTTTCCTTCTATGTTTAGGACCCGAAGTCCACATATTATGTGCATCCTTCAATCAGTAAATCCCATTTTTTCTTCTATATTTAGTGGCACAAATATTAAAAAAAAGTGTGTATTTCTATCTCCATGTTATATCCGAGTTCACATCTCCGCCCTAGAATGCCCCATAGCACATCCCCGCCATGTATTAAAAACATCTCCCGATGATAGTACTAGTCCTGATGATGTCATCATCGAGAGATGTTCTCAATACACGGCGGGATGTGTTGTGGGGCGGAGATGTGATCTCGTTATAACCATTCATATCTATAGCGCTACTTCCAATGGGTTCGCATCTGCCCCCCCATAGAGTTGCCCCCAAATACATCCCACGTGTTCTGTGTTCATATCCTCTTTCTCCAGACTCTAATCTCAGAACCGACACTTAGGTCCTGAACCAGTTGGCGGATTCTATATTGTGGTCTTGGCTGACTCCGAGCTTGGACTGGTCCTTGGAGACATGGGTGAAGAAGTGGTCTGCAAGAAGTTCAAGGCTATTGTCTCGGTTTTCCAATTCTCTTTGGTCTCCCAAACAAAGCATTTCTCAGGGAACCCTTTGTATTCGATCAAGGTGCAATTTTGCGATACTGAGACGCCCCACGACATTTTGATCAGATGCAGTAGAGAAGACAAAGTGTTGAAGTATCTGGTGCTATCAGCCTGTATCGATAAGAGAAAGGTAATTCAAGTGAAGAGGTTGCAATGGAATTTCAGAGGGAACCAGACCATCTTTGTTGATAGGTTGCTGGTTGATATGATGTGGGATGTTCATGACTGGTTCTTCAATCCAGACTTTGGATATGCTGTTTTCATTTTTAGGACAAGAAGCGGGTTGGACAGCTGGTTGTGGTTGGAGGAGAAGACAACACATAAGGACCAAGAGAGAGTTGAGTTTTTTTTGTTGATCTGTGCTTGTAAGAGCCCATAAAGAAATTTCTTGTTTCCATTCTTTTTTCAATTTTATTTTCTCTCACACTTTCAATTCTCTTTCTTCTAGGGAGAGTGGATGTAGTTATTCATTTGATGATGATTATAAGAAAGAAAAAAAAAATAGAAAATACATGGCGATGACATTCTGGTTTTTATGTTGTAGAAATGTGTATTGATAGAACTTGAAATTGGTTTGTTTTGATCATACTTGGAGTTGTTTCTTTTCATCTCTTTCTTTCTTTTTTATCTGAACTCTATGTTTCTAATCCACAAGTTTTTATCTTTTCCCATTTTTTATGGGAGGAAGTGGACACATCAGTTTGGATTCTTGAAGGAAAGAATTTATTTAGTGTAACTGTAACAACACTAACAACACTGGTAGTGGCATCTGGTATGGTCTCCATGAGAAGAAAACAACAAGAAAAGGATAAAAGGAAAAGCCACCAAACCCCAAAATGAGCTTTTGGGGATTTTGAAAAGATTTCAGTGGTTCCTTTTAGGAGAAAAAAAAAAGGAAACACAGTCTCTGGTGGTGGTGATAAACTGGTAATGTCTGATTCGCGTTCATGGCCTACATCGCCAATGGAAGTAGTTAAAATTTTTGTGAAAAAGAAGGAAAAAGTTGTAAAGATTGTAGGTGAGAAGCTTTTAAGGGGAACCATCTATATGGAGAAATCAGTTGGTTTCGTTACAGTGAAGAAAAACAAAGTCAAAACAAACAAACTCAAAGGGGGCTCCCACTCCGACGGGTTTCAGGTTTGAGAACGGTAGAAAATGAGAAGAAACAAAAAAAAAGGTAGAAAATGAGAAAAACTTACGGACGGTCGAGCTCCCGTCAGAATGGTCATCGATGTCGACCGGCGGAACTCAAAGGGGGGCAATCTCCAGCGGGTTACGGAAGATGGAGTTTTCAGCTATGAGATTAGAGTCTAGAGAAATAGGATATGAACACAGAATAGCCTAGGAGATGTGCCCTTTCGGGTGAGAGGGAGTTAATGGGGCAGAGCTAATGGCCGTCCCGTTAGCTCCACACGACTTTCTTTAATCCACATGTAGGCGGACACGCGGCACACGCCCACAACGCGTGAGATGTATTTGGGGGCAACTCTGTGGGGGGGCGGACGCGAACCCGCTTCCAATATAACTCCTCCCTATCATACCATGTTTCCATTTCTGATTTGAGGACTTGCTCTTCTTGGCAATCATCTACGAACATTGGGTCAGACTCGAACATATTTTTTTTTTTCTTAATTTATACCAATTATAAAGCTTGCCTTCGGTAGAGCAACATATTTTTGTAGAAAATCTATACCATCAACAGCTGCTGAAGATGATTCGCATATTGAGGACATGTACTCTAAATAAATTCAAATCTGATTTAGGGTTTATAACGACTTTAAAATCTATGTAAGTTATAAAGGATAGGGCTATGATAACAAACTCTCTTGTGTGTCGAGTAGTAGTGACCTCGTCACCAACATGCTTGATAAGATCGAATTAACGATTGGAATCAATGATAATGTTTCACGTCAGTAATTATAAAAATTATTAGATAATTATTTAATTATATTGTTATATAATTATCTAATTATATAAATATATAATAGTTATTATATATAATTATAAATATTGTTATTATAATTATCTAATTATACAAATATATAATAGTTATTATAAATATTGTTAATAACTAGATATCGAACCATTTGAACAGTTTTGATTGTTTTTAATTTTTTAATTTTTTTGTTAGAACGGGTTGACCGTTCGACCTACTAACCGAACCCCTTACCGGTTTGGTCTCCGGGTCGGTTTTAAAAACCATGATGTTATATCATTCAAGTATGTGACTCGTACAACACGAAAATGGAACCATTCTAGCCACCGGCTTTTGGGTTGACGGTTTGACTGTCCGATGTGAACACTCGCACCGTTCGACCCAGTAACCGGACCCCTGACTGGTTCAGTCACTGAGTTGATTTTAAAAACCATGATGTTATGTCATTCGCGCGTGTGACTCATACGACTAGAAAATGGAACCATTCTAGCCATTGATTTTTGGGTCAACGGTTTGACCGTCCGGTTCAAATGGACAACCCATTATGACAACAAAAATTAAAAAATAAAAGATGGCCAAAAACCATTTAACAGGTCAATAGGTTGACGGTTTGACCACTCGGGTCAATGGGTTATTGACCAATTCAATGGTTTTTTGGCCAGGGACCAGGATTGGGGTAAAACGAAATTGGTTGCCTAGACAGTTCCTAATTAATAGAATAAAAAAAGGACTACTCGTTCTGACAACAAAAATTATAGGCAAAAAATTGAGTGTGTGAGGTCCATTAAGCAGTACTATACGTGTTATGTCATTCGAGCATGTGACTCATACGACCTAAAAACGGAATCATTCTAGCCACCGATTTTCGGGTCGACGGTTTGACTATTCGGATCGAACGGATGGCCCATTCGGACAATAAAAATTAAAAAATAAAAAATGACGAAAAACCATTAAACGGGTCAATGGTTCGACTTTCCAAGTCAATGGGTTGTTGACCGATTCAACGATTTTTGGCCAGGGACTGAGATTAGTATAAAACGGAACTGTTTGCCTGGATGGTTTCAAAGTAAAAAAATAAAAAAAATGACTAATTTTTTGAGTCAACGGGTCAATGGTTCGACCGCTTGAGTCAATGGGTTGTTGGTCGATTCAATGGTTTTTGGCCAAGGACCGGGTCAAAGGATCAATAGGTCAATGGTTCCATTCTGACAACAAAATTTATAGGTAAAAAATTGAGTTTGTGAGGTCCATTATGTAGTATCATATGTATTATGTCGTTTGAGTGCATGGCTCATACGACTCGAAAACAAAACCGTTCTGCCCACCAGTTTTTTGGTCGATGGTTCGACCATTCGATTCGAACGAACGACTTGTTTTGACAACAAAAAATTACAAGCAAAAAATTACAGAACTGTTATGGCCACAAATTTTCGGGTCGATAGTTCGATCATCCAGTTCGAACGAATGATCCATTCTAACAACAAAAAATACAGGAAAAACGTTGAGTGTGTGAGGTCAACTAAGCAGTATCATACGTGTTATGTCATTTGAGCATGTGACTCATACAACCCGAAAATGGAACTATTCTAGTCACCGGTTTTCAGGTTGACGGTCAACCGACCGATTAGAATGGACAACCCGTTCTGGCAACAAAAATTAAAAAATAAAAAAATGGCCAAAAACCATCGAATGGGTCAACATGTTAACGGTTCGACCACTTGGGTCAATGGGTTGTTGATCAATTCAATGGTTTTTGGCTAGGGACCGGTTGGGGTAAAACAAAACTGGTTGCCTGGACGGTTCCATTGAGTGTATGAGGTCCATTAAGTAGTACCATATGTGTTATGCCATTCGAGCTTCTGACTCATACGACTTGAAAACGGAACCATTCTGGCCACTGGTTCTTGGGTCGATGGTTCGACTATTCAGTTCGAACCGATGGCCCGTTTTGACAACAAAAATTACAAAAATAAAAAAGAATGACCAAAAACCATTGAATTAATTTATAAGGTTTGACGTTTAGTTTGGTCAAACCAAACTGAACCGATATCCAAATTAATCAAACTGAATTAATTTATAAGGTTTGGTTTTCGATTAAATATTAGGGTAAATTGTAGATTNGTCAAACCAAACTGAACCGATATCCAAATTAATCAAACTGAATTAATTTATAAGGTTTGGTTTTCGATTAAATATTAGGGTAAATTGTAGATTAAAACCTTGTACATTGGGCCTAGTCTCACTTTGGTATTTGATCATCAAAACTTATTAATCTAGTAACATCACTTCCAAAAAATCCCAATTTAGTCCCTGCCATTAACAGCCCATCAGTTATCTGTATCACGTGATGACATGTGCGACTTAAAATTTTTGAAAATATCAAAATTACCTTCTGAAATAAGTTACTGTTCATCAACTTCTTCCATCCTCAAAGAATCAAGATTAAACAAAGCATTAGTGAATAACTCTTTGTTGATCTGTGCTTGTAAGATCCCATAATGAAATTTCTTGTTTCCATTCTTTTTAATTTTATTTTCTCTCACTCTTTCAATTCTCTTTCTTCTAGGGAGAGTGGATGTAGTTATTCATTTGATGGTGATTATAGGAAAGAAAAAAAAAAAAAACAGAAAATACTTGGCGATGAAATGTGTATTGATAGAACTTGAAATTGGTTTGTTTTGATCATACTTGGAGTTGTTTCTTTTCATCTCTTTCTTTCCTTTTTATCTGAACTCTATCTTTTCATGGGAGGAAGTGGACACATCCGTTTGGATTCTTGAAGGAAAGAATTTTACTTAGTGTAACTGTAACAACACTAACAACACTGGTAGTGGCATCTAGTATGGTCTCCATGAGAAGCAAACAACAAGAAAAGGATAAAAGGAAAAGCCGCCCAAACCCCAAAATGAGCTTTTGGGGATCTTGAAAAGATTTCAGTGGTTCCTTTTAGGATAAAAAAAAAAGGAAACACAGTCTCTGGTGGTGGTGGTAAACTGGTAATGTCTGATTCGCGTTCATGGCCTACATCGCCAATGGAAGTAGTTAAAATTTTTGTGAAAAAGAAGGAAAAAGTTGTAAAGATTG